TACAATGATAAGTGTGCAGTGACTGTGGGTCTGTCTGTAGCTCGTCCTCACCTTGAGCTCTGTGCTTCCTCCATTTTCACAGAACACTAACTTCTGTGATTGTTGTCTCTATACTGTGAAAGCCTTTTATTAACAATCATTTTTATTGCAGGACGACATTTAGTTATAAGACTTGAGTGAAATAAAAGCCATGTGAACACAAAGCTATCTATTGGGCTGCATTAAATACATTTTCCAAACATTGAGGAACATGTATTTGATTTTTTATTTGATGTCTACTTCCTTATATCTTAATATGACACAGGAACTGGTGTCTTTACTCAGGTCATTGTTTATTTAACAGTTTTATAACTTCTCAGATTGCAGTTTTCTTACCAAAAACTACAAATTTCTCCACTGATTCTGAATACTCTGACAAAATTAACACATTTATGTTTTTCCGAATCCATTTTCCTTTATCTTGAAATATATGTGGAGGTGTTTTAAGTTTTTTTTTCTGAGGTCATGGAAAATGCCTCTTATCAGTACATGCTCCTGATTGGACAGCGCGCTCGTCTACAGGTATGCAGTGCATCATATGTAACACCTGTAGCTCTGATGTTATGGAAAAACAAGTGTTGCTTCTCTGACTGAGGAATGTGTTATGTAATGATGACTCTGGCTCTTGCAACTATGCTAAAAATGTAATGTGGCTTTATTTTAAATTACACAACAGCAACTACAAAAAAGGCACAAACAATCAAAAGGAAACATAAGGAAAAAATAACAACAACATTTTCAAAACGAAGTAGGAAGAAGGATACGCTTATTTAATCCCAAGCATGTTTCCACTAAGTCATAACTAATAATCATCAGTGTGATTAATGGTCCTTAGAATTTGTTACATTTGCTTTTATAATTCCAACATCGTGGCAGGAGAGTTATTTACAGATGAATATACACATGTGCAAACATATTTACTGTGTGCAGCCAGTAACAAAAACGTGTCTCCTTCTTGTACCTTGAAAAAAAAACATAATTTTGTACCACTATTTAAAATGTGTCAAACTAATAAGACCTTTGCAATATCACTGTGTTTGAGAGAGGTATTGTTTACTCTCGAACATTACGTGTCAGCTAAAATCACACACTACAGCAAATCATAAGGAGAACTAAACCTGTTCTGAGACATATTTTAGAGACAAGCGGTG